GGCCGTTTTTCCATTGCCGGAAAGCTACCAAAATGACCCAAAATTCCATTTCAATACCCTCTTGCGCTCAGACACCCAAAAATCCTCGAAAAATGTCGAAAACACCACCGTATTCTGGTCTCGGTGCGAAACCGTTTTTGGGGTCTGGTCTCGGTGCGAAACCGTTTTTGCCCCCCCCCCCCAGCTAAAGCTGATATAGCGACTGCTATATTAACAAATGTCATTGAGCATTTAGTGTTGCTGTTGCCCCCCAATAAGCACGCCTTCACCGCCAAAGCGGTGTGGGCGGATTTTATAGTGATTTTAAGGTTGTAGGTGAAATTTGTCGAAATTTGTTCAGGTTTTTGCAGTGCAGCCATGATCCAGGTTGTTCTTATCCACAGCCATTGATCATTTGATCAAAGATGCCTCGGGTAGGGGCACAACCTCTGAAAGGGAACCCGGCCCTGTGCCATGTGAAACCATGCTCAGGAAAGATGGGCAAACCATTTCTTTGCATTCCTTCATTTTGGTTCCAATGCCGCCCAACTGCCACCACACAAAAGGCTGGCTTCAACCTTTCAACCCACTATGAAATAAGTGATTGAGCCAGCACCTGCCATCCTTTTGCATTCCTTGATGCCAGCCCTGGCCTTTCAATGGGCCATTTTGGAATACTGTATGGCTACTTGTATGGTTTCCAAGTGCTGCCACTATAAAATGGCTGGCCTCAACCTTTCAACCCACCATGAAGTTGGTGATTGAGCCAGCATCTGCCATCCTTTTGCATTCCTTGATGCCAGCCCTGGCGTTTCAATGGGCCATTTTGGAATACTGTGTGGCTACTTGTATGATTTCCAAGTGCTGCCACTATAAAATGGCTGGCTTGAACCTTTCAACCCACCATGAAATTGGAGGTTGGGCCAGCACCTGCCATTCTTTGGGGTTGAAATTGCCGGGGAAGCTGGGTATTCAACCCAATTGTGCAAGTAAGCCACATTAAAACACAATAACCCAGATTGTGCTATCTTGTGGGTTGCTTGCACAAATTCCCACATCTAGCCACTACCAAATGGTTAGCTTCAACCCACCAACCCAATTTGAGATTGGTGATGGGGTTGAATACCCAGCTTTCCGGGCAATTTCAACCCAAAAGGGTGGCAGGTGCTGGCTCAATCACCAACTTCATGGTGGGTTGAAAAGTTGAGGCCAGCCATTTTATAGTGGCAACACTTGGAAATCATACGAGCAGCCCACGCTGTTCCAAAATAACCCATTGAGAGGCCAGGGCTTGCCTTTGGAGGCATTGGAAGCAAAATCTAGGAATACAAAAGGATGGCAGATGCTGGCTCAATCACCAATTTTTTTGTGGGTTGAAAGGTTCAGGCCCGCAATTTTATAGTGGCAGCACTTGGAAATCATACAAGTAGCCACACAGTATTCCAAAATGGCCCATTGAAACGCCAGGGCTGGCATCAAGGATTCCAAACGATGGCAGATGCTGGCTCAATCACCAACTTCTTGGTGGGTTGAAAGGTTGAGGCCAGCCATTTTATAGTGGCAGCAGTTGGAACACATACAAGTAGCCCACGCTGTTCCAAAATAGTTCATTGAGAGGCCAGGGCTTGCATTTGGAGGCATTGGAAGCAAAATCCAGGAATACAAAAGGATGGCAGATGCTGGCTCAATCACCTATTTCATGGTGGGTTGAAGGTTTAAGGACAAGTAGCCCACACTATTCCAAAATTGCCCATTGAAAGGCCAGGGTTGGCACTGGGCGGCATTGGAAACAAAATGAAGGAATGGCAAAATCAAAATGAAGGAATGGCAAAATTGTTTTATTCTAAGTGAGGTGCTGAAATCTGTTGACTTGCGCCTTGACCATTTGTAAAGGCCAGTCATTTTATAGAGATTTTTTAAGTAATTTCCAGGTGTTCTGGGGTCAGGCCCCCTCAAAATATAGTGTTTTCATTTGGGTTGGGGCCACTCATTTTATAAGCAGTGTCTAGTCATTTTATAGTGAAAACAATTTTATGTGTATAAAATGGCTTGCAGGACCCCCTCCCGTGTATGTTCAGAAGGATCATAGGTTCCTTCATCTCCGTTCATTCGCAACTCCACAACCACTTGCTCATTCATTGGCCCACCTCACAAATTTAACACTTCGTTGCTTTTAGCAATAGCAAAAACACAACCAGCCTCCAAAAAACGAGAAATGTTCATCACCAGCGTCATTCGGCGAAACACCAATTTCGCATTGCTCCATCCTTTCCAAAAAAAAATTGTACCAGCGGCTACGCTAGGCTCAAGGCCCATGACAAGTACGATCATGGCAAGTGCTTTTGTCAGTTTGCTGAGTTGCCTTCTGACACCATGTTTTGAAACTTGACATATGCAACGGCTGCCTTGTCGCACACGCAATTGAATCCAGAGAATTTTGCCATCCACACGTTTCAGTTTTCCAGTATTTTGGCCGTTCACAAGTTGGCCTGCGCCCGAGGAGCCTGTCAGCGACACATGTTTGATTGAAGTTCCCACAACAAACTCAAAACATGTTTTGATCTACACTCCATCAAAAAGTGTTGGCACAAGACTGTGCAGTTCTGACTCGCATGAAGGAAGTGATATGACACGTTGCGTCCTGCTACTTCCATAGGCCATCTGATCATCCAGCAAGTGAATCCCACATGACGTTGAACGTCGATGCACATGGTTGGAATTCCAGTCAACATCGCTAAAAAATTCGAGTATCCAAACCTTGCAACGTCCATGGCCAGCAATTGGTTTCTCCAAGACAACTGCAAAATCACTTGTATTGCGCAAGTAGCCAATCACCTTTCGAAGTTTCTCCACTGCAACTGTTGGAGCACTCATTTTCTGCGTTCCTTTTTTTGTGCCACAAAAAACACATCAGGTCTATCCCTCGCATGATACAGCAGCATCCTTACCACCGATCGATAGTGGAAGGTTTCTTCATTGGAAAATGGAATTGATAGGTCTTCCATCTGGATTGTGTTGTCACATGGAATCATTTGCTGTCGAGCACGTCCAAAACTTTGTCCCAACCGACCGGACGCCTACAGGGAAAACGGTGCGAAGGAAAAAAAAAATGTTCAAACAACCGAATTATTTTTTTCCAACACATTTTTTTCTGCCAGCATCTCAGCACTGGGACCGTTTTGGTCCTGGTTATCTCTCAGCAAATTTGTATAATTTGTTGTGGTGGGTTGGCTATAAATCCAGAGCCGCGGGGCCCCCCTCAAGGTCGAAGAGAGAGGCGTGATGCCGGGGGTGGGGCTCCCGGGTGGTGTTCAAGCAGGGTGCTCGCGGGTGGCATGTCACCATCAGGGGTGGTGTGTGATGCCGGATTTTGGAGGATGAGGCTGGCCGCAAATGGTGCTTGTGCTGCCATTGTGAGCGTGGCGGGCCGGCGAGCTATGGGGGCTTGGACAGCTGCCTTTCGTAAGGTTGGGACGATTGAGCGGGTGCGAGCTTGCGCCAAGAGACGTAGGAAAGCTGCTGCCTCCTTACTCCATTTGCCACCCACCTCCATTGCCAGGACCACGAGGCGGCAGCGAGCCCCGCCGACCGAACTTTGTTCACACCTGTACATGGAATCAACGCAAGGCCGCGTGGGAGTCTCACCAGCTTGCGTTTGAGGAACCTGATTGGACTGCCAACATCACCACGCACTGTGCCATTGAGAGTATACTTGTCATCAAGTTTCTTCCGAAAAACCTCATTCCAGTACTTCGTGCTACCGCAAAACATCACGGCGTCTACGTGGATCATCAAAGCACATTCATTCTTTTTGCACAAGCATGGATGCTCTGGGCATAAATTCATGTTGAAAGTTGAAGTCAGGTAAGCTCTGAAATGCCAATACTAGCATTTAGCACTTAATACTAACCGTTGACCTGGCAAATTCTTCAAGACAATGTAATTTCCAGAAGGTAGTTGCACTCAAAGTGGGGTCGTTTGATCGGCCATCAGAAATGCATTTTTGACATGAACTGTGCCAAGAGTCATTTCAGTTGAGTCTGCATTGCTCGTTTCCGACTGCGCCAGCTTTTCAAGGAAGACAATCGGTAAAACATTCATTCATGTGAAGAGGTTGCTGGAGAAAAGATATCTGAACGTGCCTCTTTGAAGGCAAACCCTTGCGCTACAAGAAGAAATCTTCTACTGTAACCCTATTTTAACATCACCATAGGGTTTCAAACGCCAATCATGCACATGTTTGGTCGTCAACTTTGCTGTCACTGGGTCTCCTTCATAGAGTTTCTCCTCAATCAGGACTTGCGTGTTTTTCAAACGTTCTGCCTCAACTTTGTGAGGACGGTGGGTCAGGTGGTAATGCATCAATTGGAATTGGAAAATCAGTCCACAAGTCATCAGGCATTCCATCAAACTCGACATTGTCTTCATCCATGGACCAGTTGGATCAAAGTTTTTTTCCAACTGCAAGTCTGTGTTGTACTCATCCATGATGAAAAAAATGATGTGCTGCTGTGACTGTTCTGACCATGTTGGTGTGTTCAGCTGCTGAACCTTCAACACGCTGTTTCTTTCGAGTTTCAACCCTTGATCTTGTGCTCTCATCATGAAGCTTTGTGACTGCGGCATCTGATTCAACTCTAGCTTCTGCGATGCGGGTTTCAGTTACTATGTCACGCACACCAGTAATCTGTGGAGAATCATCAGGCTCATCACCAATGAAAAAGTTAATCACACGCACTGAACTGTCACCTTCATGCGCTGATTGAGAACGCAAATCAAAAATGACTGGTTCACCATCTCCTCCTTGAGGAACACGAGCTGAATTCTCAAAAATACGTGGGGCTCTGTATGTGGAGGACTGCTGTTGCTTCTGGCCAGTTTGTTGATTTGAAGACTGGGCTGAGCTCGAACATCGTTGGTTGGTTGATCCCACATTGCTCCATGAACCATTTGACTGTGAAATTGTTGAAGGTGGGTTCACTGATTCAGCCTGAGCACTTCTGACCATTTGCTAGCAATCCATGGCGTAGTGCCCAAGGCAAGGCCACCGCAATTGTATGCACCCTTGGAATCTCTTTTGCCTTTTCTTGTGACACGCAAGATTTCTTGAGAACGTTGTTTGACTCATAGAGCTTTTTGGGGTTCAAGAGTCCTGAATGTGGGACAGATTAGCTTTGCCCCCCCTCGCATTTCAATCGATCGTGTGCCCATCTCGGACTTCAGATACAGTCCTATTGATCATTTTAAGCTGGTTTGCTGGATTCCTTGCTGGAGGTTGCATAGCGGCCTTAATCCTTTCCCCTGGCTTGAGCAGGTGCCTGATCAGAGCTGCTGCATTTGCCTTGCAGGAGGCAGTTCCTGAGGGCCTTCCTCGATCAGATCGATTGCAGAGGTACCGTCAGTGAGTGCTTGGGTGGCATAGCCTGGTTGAACGTCTCCTCCATACTTTGGTTTCAAAAGCCTTCAAGATCCCTCGTTCATCTTTGGCTCCCCCTATAGTGATTCTGCTAGTGATAGTTCTGAACACTGGGAATTGATCAGCCTTAGTGTTTCACAGGGTTCCAACACTGTCCCTGATTCGACTGCTGCATCGTCTCCTTGGTGGTTGCGACCTCCTCCATCTACTTTGCCTTTCTACCTGGCTGACTCTGCTCGTAAGCTGCGTGCTGAGTGTGGATATTCTGGGCTTCGGCGATTGGAGTTGGCCTTCCAGAGAGGACTGCAAGCATCTCGCGTCAGGAAAGGCGGGATTTTTCAGTGGTGAGCGTTGCGGCCTTCTAAATCGCTGCTACGTGGTTTTGAGGGGACGAGTCTGTGCCTACACCGAAACTGGCGGCTCGATTGATTCCCGTGCCATTAGTCATAGTTTCGGATCGCAGCTGGAAGCGGAAGCTTTCTGCATCGGGGCTGGATTGACCAGCCTCCCAGCCTCTAAATGAGTGCACTCCCTTTGGGGGTGCTGACCTGCCAGGATTCTGCTGGGCCAACTCCAGTGCACTTCCACTATCAGGAGCAATGCTGCAGAGCTGTAGTGGTGTGCACTGCTCCCTCAGGCATCTTGGTTTGCATACCTCGGGGCGGCGTGTCTCCTCAGGAATTCGAAGAGGCCGAGACTTCTGGCTACGTTGGTGCGATTGGGCCATTTTCCGAAGTGGAAGTGGCGGTGTCGAACAGTCGTGCAAAGCGTACGCTGGCTGCTATAATCTTCGACCTCGACATTCGGGGTTCGGCTGCAATTGTGGAAAGAGTTCCCGATGGCTTTCCCAGAGAGAGTGTGGTTCGCTTCAACATCTACAGAGGGGCAGAAGACTTGCCAAACCGTGCTGCCTTGCTGGAACTTGCCACCAACTTCATCAATTCTGGAATTGGCGAGCGCAGACTGGAGCCTTACTACTCTGCTCACGAAGATGGTGCAGAGCTAGAAGAGGCAGAGACAGTGGATCAGGTTCCCGAAACTCCAGTTCCCGATGGTGGAGGTCCAGAAGAAGAAGGAGCTTCAGCTATGGAAGTTATGCTGCGTCGTTTGTTGAGTCAGTCCGCAGTCACCCAAAGGACTATCACTGGCATGCACGACAGGCTGAGTGCTCTCGAGTCTTTGGAGGGTCGGCTAAGCAAGTTGGAGTCAGGTGGACATCGAGCTGTTCCGCTTCCACCTCCGCCCAGAACTTCACCCCAGATGTTCGATGGAGCAGGCGCAACGTTGGGGCCAGAACGACTCCAACATCTGCAAGCTTTGGCCGGCAGAGGACCCGGCAGGTTGGGCGACCTAGGTCTTCACAATCGACCCAAGTCAGCTCCTCAACCCAGTACGGCTGTGGCTGTCGCTGGCACTACAGAGGGTGCCGAGGGGGAAGATCTAGATGGAGAACCCTGGGCCGGGAACGCCCCGGACAGCAGCACAGTGTTGGAGAAGCTCCTGGCGTCCCAGTCCGCCATCCTGGAAAAGCTGGCAAACTTTCGAGCTGCTCAACAAGATCCCTTAGCAGCTCTGGGCGGTGCGTCCAATTTGGACTCCGACGATGCTCCCAAGAGCACAGGCGTTCGAGGAATTGCTGCACGCCAGATGCTTGTGGACTCCTTTCGCAAAAGCCCTCAGAGAGTGGAGCAGATCTTCAAGGAGAGGCTGGCCACTGCTCGGAGGAAGGGCGATGTGAAAGAGCTGGAAGCCAGGGACCTTTGGTACCATTTCCAAGACCAGGTACCTCTGGGCAGCCATCGAACTTTGACGCACATGGCGTTTATGGCTGCAGCCATGTACGAAGCCATGGAGCGAAACGACAATGCCCGGCTTCGGATGTTGGTCTGCATGCAGGCCATATTCGCAGAGCAGGCCAGCTACGATGCAGGGGGATTGCGAATGGCCCACCTGATCACAGGCCTGGAAGACCCTCCTTTTGCCATGACAGCGATCCACAGAGTGCCAAGCAGCCTCTATGCTCATGGGCAACTCAGCGACCCACGTTGGGTGGCTACAAATTTGGCCTACCTGCGGGACCTCGAGGGCATTACGGACAAAAGCAACAAGTACGTCCGTCCAGGGAACAACAAGCCAGCAGATCCAGAGGCCGGAGACGATCCACCAAAGAAGCCAAGGCCACCATTCAAGCCAAAGCGACCCAAGAAAACCTCAGAAAGCCCAGGCGAAGGCGGCAAATGATGCCTTCGCACCTGCCTAGCATCCGACGCAATGACGATGTGATGTCTGCAGATTGCACTGCTCCGGGTGATGCCACTTTGCCTGAGTATTTGTCTTCTGTAAATTTTGGGGCAGTTTTAATTTCAACAATTTTTGACAGTCGCACTCCCTTAGGGAATTTTTGTCGACGTTCCATGGACCTGCATATGAAGGGGAACAGCCACTGTTCCTCCAAGCAGTTGTGGCCTTGCCCAATTCCAGACAGATTGTGTTCTATGTCTAACCTTTCATCTGGCAGGCGCCGATCCAGATTTCACCTGAGAGCTGTAGTGAGGGAGCATCTTCGTGCTTTTGTCGCTGCTTGCAACTGGTTGACAACGGGCAGAAACACCTTTGTCCATTCTGAATCTAGGCAGCCTTTGACACATTCCCAAACGAGAATGCTTGTTGATTTGGAGCAAATGCTACGATTGTTTTACCGCCTTAGTCCCGGACATAGCAGCGGTTTGGAACGAGCACTGGGAAAGAGCACCAACGTTCACAGTGCTTTGATGCATCTCTCTGATGCAACCTCGGCATTGCGGGATCAGTTAGATCCCTATTGCCGTGCGCGATCCAATCGCGCCAGTTTTGATGAAGATTGTGAAGGAGCCAGCTGTTCCTCGGCATCAGGTGAAACTGTGGCTGTCGAGCAGGGTATGCCCAATCAGGGCACAGGCATTTCGCTTCCTTCCAGTGCCTTGCAAGATAGCATGGCTGTTGAACTCAATGCCGATCGAATCGTGTTCAAGCATCCTCCTCAATTCAAAGCCTCCAAGTTTTTGACCGACCCTTTGCTGAAAGCTGGATTTGCAGACCCCTCACACCTAGTACTCCCTGAGGAGAACTGGCCCAAGGTGAGACCTGCCAGAGTCCTTTGCAGTCGCGATGAACTGTTGAAACTCTTTAGGAAATGGGACTCCGTGCATTCACTTCGTCTTTTAGATTGTCAATGTTCAGAGCGTAAGTATCGTTGTGGATTGTTTGCAGTCTACAAATCTGCTGAGAAGGACAGGCAAATCCTCAATCCAATCCCTGAAAATGGCAGACGCATGGTGATGAATCAATCTACTCTATCCCTTTCACATGGGAGTCTGCTATGCAGTTTGTATCTTGAACATGACAAGGACTTAGTAATAGGTGCCGATGATCTCGAAGATTTTTATCACAGTTTCATTGTTGATGATCCGCACGCTTTCAGAAATCATATCCATGGTGTTTTTCCTGCTGACATGTTTAAGGGTTGGGATTGCTGGAGGGATGAGTTGGAAGGCAAACACGTTGTTGGATGTTTTGGTTCATTGGCGATGGGCACCAGCTTTGCTGTCGAAGTTGCACAACACACCCATAGCATTCTACTTCAACGTGCAGGTTGTTTGAACAGTGATGAATGGGTTCAATACAGAAAAGAGTTTCCAGCCGGTGATACTTATCAGCTGTTGTGCATCGACGACTACGCTGTTCTGCATAAAGTTCCAAGAGGTACTTCACCTAACAATCGATCTGACTGCAGAAAAGACAGGAAATTGCTTGATCAGGCCAATGCCGCATATGCGAAAGCTGATTTACGAAGCAGTGCCAAGAAAGCTGTTCGTGATTCTTTCAATACTGTTGTTTTGGGTGGTCAGATCGATGGTCGAAGAGGCCTTGTATGCGCACCTCGTTTGCGAATCCTTGTGCTTTGCAATTTGAGTTTGAAGCTGGTGCAGATCGGCTACTCTACCAAGCAGCTTTTGGAAACCATTGTTGGTTCTTGGATTTTTGTACTGATGTTCAGAAGACCTTTGCTGAGCTTGTTATCCGATGTTTTCCATGAGGGTGAGAAACTTCCTCGTAGAGAGATTTTTCAACTATCCACTGGAGCTAAGCAAGAACTTCTGTTATTGTGCATTTGTGCACCGTTTGCATACACTAATCTGAGGGCTTCCCCCCTGGATAAGATTTTCTGTTCAGATGCGTCCATAGCTGGTGGTGGAGTCTGCAGTGCGGACATCAGTCAAGATTGCACGCTCGAGCTTTGCCGAGTTTCGGAACAGCGTGGTTTCTATACTCGTATAGATAACAGTGCTCTTGGTGCGTACATGGCTCTACAAGGTGAATATTTGGCCGATGCGAGTTCCATCCCCAAAAGTCTCGTTGAAGGATTTCTCTGGGATTTTTGTGAAGTTTTCAGGGGCACAGGTCATTTGAGCAATGCGCACCGAGAGCAAGGTCTCACAGTCCATCCAGGCTTCGACCTTCTAGATGGCGCTTGCGGGGACGTGTTGCTTCCCAGCACTTTTGCAGCTATTGTCGGCCTGATTTGTAGGCGTGTGGTCAAAGTTTGGCATATTGCACCCGTTTGTACCACTTTTGGCACTTTGAGAAGACCAAGGTTGCGATCCAAGCTGTTACCATTTGGTTTTGACCCTTTGGAATCCCACACTGCCTTAGGGAATCAGTTTGCAATGCGTGGCGGCTTCATCCTTTGGCTCTGCATTTTGTACGGCCTTATAGCCAGCTGTGAACAACCTGGAGGTTCTGTCATGTATCGACTCGATATTTTTCAGCGTTTGCTTTGTGTTGGTTTTAATTCCATCAGGTTTCCATTTTGCAATTGGGGAACCCCATTTCAGAAGATGAGCTGGTGGATAGGCAATAATCCTAGATTGCAGAGTCTTGCTGATGTTTGCCATTGCGGCCGACTTGGGCAACATTTTCAAGTGCGTGGGAGTTTTGATGCACACCGACTCGCTTCGTTCAAGCGTCGATGCAGACCCTCGTGTGGCGAGGTCTTTGGCAGGATGCCCTGTATTGGTGACCATGTCAAAAAATTTTCTGCTGGCTACCCCCTCACTTTGTGTTCTCATGTTGCCACGCTAAACAAGCAGTTGATTCATGAACTTGACCAGGGATCCCAGGAAGTCCTTAGGCCTTATTCTACTCCTGCTCGTTGGGTTGGGCAACTGGCACGATCGCTGTCCTGCAAGAAATTGCTGCAGTATGAGTTCGCAAAGACAAACCATATCAATGTGAATGAGAATCTTGCTTATCGGAGCCTTCTGAAACATGTGAGCAAGTGCACTCCACATAGTCGGTTCATAGCTCTTTTGGATTCTCGTGTTGCTATTGGTTGTAATGCAAAAGGAGGTCCAGTAGTAAGCAACTTAATTTTTACCTGGCTTCGGCGGTGCCTTATATTTTGGGTGGCGATATTTATCCTCACTTGATTCACGTTGGCACCCATGACAATGCCTCGGATGATGTTTCAAGATTTGTTAAGTTGCGTCAAGCTTCCGAAGTTCAACCTCCGTGGCTGACAGAGCTGCTCAAAGGTGATCCCAGGCTTTTTCAACTCATTCGAAGAGCTGACCGCTTCGTTTGGCCGCTCAATGGGTGGGCTCGCATGTTTCTGCTGCTGAGTGTGCATCGCGGCAACTAGCAAGTGTCTGAATGCCACGCTCTCGCAGACATACAGCTGAATCTCGCTCTGGCCTTTCATTGGATCCAACTGCGAACAGGCATGAAGGGACCAATAAGAGGCGAAACGAATGCTTTCGTTTGTTTTGTGCCTGGATACTTTCTGAATTAGGATGTGAGGTTTCTGAGGGAACTTTTCCCCCAAACCTTATGAGCTATGCCCTGATTGGCTATGGGAAATCTCTTTTCTATGGTGGCCACCCCAAGTACACATATGCTGAAACTATCAACGCTGTCATCGATCGCTTTCCGCATTACCGTGGATTGGTATCGGCTGCATGGCAAACTCTCAAGAAGTGGGAAGAGGCTGAACCAATGGAGAGATCTATGATCATGCCTGCTGCTTTGTTTAAGGCAGCAGTTAGTCTCTGCATTCTCTGGTCTTGGAAGAAGGTGGCTGCAGTGCTTTTATTAGGTTTTCATGGTTTGCTCCGCCCCAACGAAATTCTGCCATTGCGACGTGCTGACCTAGTTCTTCCTAGGGATGTTTTATCCACGGAGCCCATTGCGTACGTCCGCATTCTGCATTCGAAGACAAGCAGGTTCATGCTGAGGCAGCATTCGAGAGTCAGTGACCAGCTCTCCGTTGCTTATCTTGACCACGTTTTTGGATGTCTGCCGAAAGAGCGGCCTCTTTTCGACTGCAGTGCGGGAGTTTTCAGAACTCGCTGGAACAGGCTTTTCAACTTTCTTGGCGTGGAAACTGCTGAAAAGAAGAAGGGCATTACTCCAAAGAGTCTGAGAGGCAGTGGTGCATCCTGGCTTTTCCACCACACGGAAGACGTGCAGCGCGTCCTCTGGCGTGGAAGGTGGCAGAGCAGAAAAACCTTGGAACACTATTTGCAAGATGTCATGGGTCAGGTTCTTTTGAGTGACCTGATTCAGGAGAAGCGTGACTTAGTCTTTGCTTTAGCAGAGGCTTCTTCCAGTCTTTTGGTGCATGCCATAGGCGACACACCTCAAGCCACGTTTTGAAGAGATAGATATCAGCCAAAGGTTGGTTTCTGGAAAGTGATTTCAATTTGGCCGGCCAAGCACCTTTCATTTTCCTTTGTTTCTGCCATGCTGGCAGTAAAGCCTTTCGTGGCTGAGCAGCTTGTGAAGATTGTCCCTAGCAGGAGGAGGAAAATTGGAGTGATCTGGCAATCTTGTGACACGCAAGATTTCTTGAGAACGTTGTTTGACTCATAGAGCTTTTTGGGGCCCACCCCCAGGCCACCCAGATATCAGCCAAAGGTTGGTTTCTGGAAAGTGATTTCAGTTTGGCCGGCCAAGCACCTTTCATTTTCCTTTGTTTCTGCCATGCTGGCAGTCAAGCCTTTCGTGGCTGAGCAGCTTGTGAAGATTGTCCCTAGCAGGAGGAGGAAAACTGGAGTGATCTGGCAATCTTTTCTGTGTCTTTCCTCTGCCTTTGTTGTTGCTGTTGTAGTCCCAACTGGGCTTACGTTTTCCACTCTTGTTCTTTGACTTGCTTTAGCTCCTACCCTTCTGGTTGCTGTCATTCTTACCTTTGTTCTTACCTT